GCTGATCCGAAGAGAACGGTAAGAGGATTGAACATTCCTGCGTGACACGGAGGGATAAATTCCGACCGAGATTACTGTGAAATTTTCGCAAAGGAAAAGATCTTAATATGGCCTGTGGTTAAGGACCAAGAGTGACCTTGCTGAAAGGGACAAGCCTGCTGGTCGCTGAGGACCTTGGAAGCGGGCGCGGCGAAGTGACAGGCGCCGTAGTCCCTGGCTTCAGCAAACGGTAGGTAGCTCCTCCCCGGGTTTCCTCAAAACTTTGGCGCCGTTGCTGGGGAGGGGAGCAGCACCTCCAAGGCTGTGGCCTTCCCCAACCAACGGGGGTGCACGGGTTGATTAGTCAAACACTAATTAGCTTGTTTTCTTGATTAGTTTTATTTTTTATAATCATTTTATTTAGTTTTTTTAAAATATTTTCTGATCCGCGCGCTTTTGTGCGAGCCGCACGGGGAGCAAAGTTCGCCCTCTCGTCGAGGCGAACGTTTTGAGATGTTTTTTGAAAACTTCTAACAGCTAGAAAAAAAGATATGGAATTGTGTGTATTTTTCTAATTAAAAATCCCAAAAATTATGAGTTAAAATTTCTTATCGGTTTTTCCTCGATATCTCCTGATCCGCGCGCTTTCATGCGAGGCGCACCGGAGCAAAGTTCGTCCTCTCGTCGAGGCGAATGTTTTGAGATATTGTTTTAGAAATTTGAACGGCTGAAAAGCGAGATATAAAATTTTTTGTATTTTTTGATAAAAAATTTCAAAAATTTTGATTTTCCTTTTATTGAAATGGTCGGGAAAATAAGCGAAATTAGGGGAGCCCCGCGGGGACCAAAGTTGGTCTCTGTATTTTTCCCGATATTTTGAGATCCTAGTCGGGGAAAACGGACTTCGTTTGGACAAACAGCGAGCTCCAACAGATAGAAAAGGGGGAAGAAAATCAACGAAAAATTGAATTTCTTTGTAATTTTGTTTAAATTAAAAGAAAAAGGAATTAAAAAATGTAATCCAATAAGTTTTTCTTCTAAAACTAGTGAAAGGTAACAAAATTTTTCTCGCGTCGAACAGGGCTTTGCGGTGTTCGTGCGGTTGCGCGCAAAACCCAAAACCCTAATTACGGAGAAGTCCGAACCCCAATTTTGAGAGAAGCGGGTAGATAGAGGGAAGCCATAGCTTCTAGCTTCCGTATTTGTTACGGATTATTTTTTTGTCCAATATATCTCGTAAGATTGTGGAAATTAATTCGGGAAGTTTTGCTCCATTAAATAATTAAGAATTATTTTATTTTTGATTTTGTTATTTAAAATCCATAAAAAAATTTAAATAAATATTAAAAATTGCGTAGGGGCATTTGTTTGACTTCAATGCTCTTCATATCTACTTTACCTATTTGAGGGACTTTTTTCCGAACACCATCCCACCGGGGGTAAGGAAAACTGCTGTCGAAATTTTTCAAAATTTCCCTTTTAATTTAAAATTTTGCTAATTAATTAACAAAAATATTTAAMAATCGAGTTAAATCAATTTTATTTTTTTTTCATTATTCCTTTTGATTTTCTCTCTTCGGCAGCGCTGTTTGAGGGCTTCGCCCGAACCCCATCCCAACGGGGGGAGGCGAAACGCTGCCGAAATTTTAGTAAATTCCTCAAATTTTATTTTTACTCCCAAAAATCATCAAACTCGTCGGGCTTATATATGTATTGATCCTTAATATATATAAACTAAGAAAGAAATTTTATCCTAACCAAATACATTTTTTTAAATTTATAATTGAAAAATACAAAAGAATTCCCTAGAAGAAGACGAGAAAGAGATGCTGCGGTAACCTGGTTTCGGGCGAACCTACTAGCTTGTTCCCAAAGGGGTGAGGCAAGCGACGGGAATTTTCAGTTATTAATCTACACCTCCCTCTTGCTGCGTTCTCTCTAGTCGCCAGTTGAATGTGGCCGCGGGCGCAAGTAGAGGTCTATGGGG